CAAGGGTATCCACCGCCGACAGTAGTGACTAATCCCTTTCGCAGCGGGAGCTCTCCCAATGGAGGTAAACGGCTGGCCACAAAATGCGCTCCATTCCCATGGGCGGGGATCAAATCCCCAACCTCATGGTTAAGGAATGAGGTGAGCTACTACTACACCACATCTCATGGTTCTAACCAAAGTTATTTTAGTTAGTCCATTACATGCTTTCTATTTAGCTTTGAAGTATCATGGTTGGTTGGTGCAACCTGGGGTTCCTCTAACACACTGAGATAGCGACAAGTTGGATGGTAAAGGAAGCATGGGAGAATGAGCAGAGGCAGCGTGGTGAGCATGCTCAAATGGGAGCAGAGGTCCCAACCGCGTGAAGCAATTGCAGGTGACACGCATGGATTGAATTGTTGGGATCAAGATAGCTTTCTGATTTCTTGGTTTTGATCTCATGTGGTTTGTGGGAATATATAGTTTATAGTTTATTGTAGTACATGTAATTGGAGTTTTGTGTAATTCGTGTATTCTAGATTCTAGGTTCGATTTCCTCGTCTCTCAATACCGTTTATATAAAAATAAAAAACTAGTTAATCAAAGATTCTGTTTCAACTTTTAACATGCACCTTCTTCGACCGTTTAAACAAAATAAAAACGACAATATAACATTGCAAAACCAGTCTAGATCTTTCCTAGCTGACCACAAAAGATTAAGAAAGAAAATAAAAGTCAAGATTATTGCAACTTTAAACTTTAAAATATGCCGTAGAGGTAGAGATCTATCTCCATCATTTATCATTATCGAAACCATGCATGTGAATAAGTCCAGTTTCCAACAACTTATACAACAACAGTTTATTTGACCCAAAAAAGAGTTCCAAAGCTATAAAATACGCCATACAAATCTCAAAGACTAAAAAGATGTTGAGATCTATGATGATGGAAGTAATAAATCTCCTCTATGGGTTTCTTTTTCTTTATGTTCGGAAAAAGTGATATCGAATTTGAAACATCTCTAACGTTATGGACACAAGAAAGGCACATACAAGAATGTTTGAGATTATAATAATCATTTTACTATGGGAAGTTAATTATGAAATTGATAATCAGACAGAATGCGAATTGTGGGCATATATAGCTTTCACATTAGTTCGACAAAAGAGTATTTTGGCTTTCAGAGCTGTGGAAAGAACGTTCAAAAGAATCAAATGACAAAACCACTCAACGTCACTGTTTGTTTGAGAATGAAGGGCAAGTTTTAGCACTGCCACAAATGAAAATGGATAAGGCATTTGTAATTGAGAACAATATCAAAAATAATACGGACGATATAAAGAGCTTCAGTTGCGGAATCCTGCAATTACGGAATGAAGACAACCCGAATGCTTGTGCTTGACAACCAGCCCTTCCTGTCCCGCAACTATTGTCTTTATGTCTATTATCCTTTTAAGATTTCAACTTTCAATAGGATAGCCCCCCTTCGGAAAAATACTTCCTTCAGGTAGCTAGAGCTAATAGGTCTGCGCTTTCAACGGCATCATATACATGCGGTCCCAAGTATGACAGGCAGGAAGTGGAGGAAGGACCACATTAGACTAGAATCCTCAATGAAGCTCACTATGGGACCATGTGTGCAACAAACCCTAGCCACCTTTATATATATCCGGAATCCATTGGAAACCAAGACTAGTGTATTTTTCTCCGAGTTTTTTTACTTCAGTTTCGACAAAGTTGATTATTTTAAAGTGTAGAATCATCCTTCTAGAGTTTATAATTTAGATTTTAGCTATCGAATTCTTGAGGAAGTTTAAAATCTAGAAAGTTTAACTCAAAACTCAAAACGCAAATGTGAGATAAATCAGATGACCTAAGTAATGTCCTCACTCAGTAACACCCAAGTTCGAATCTTCATCCTCGTAAATTGTAAAAAACAGTATTTGCGTAACTAACTGATCCTTCAGAAATAGTATGTGATATATTTGATAAGAGATTTATATTTTTTTGGTAATTACCATGAGATGTCCAAATCAGCTTGCGTGCACCTCAACTAATCCCTACTCACGGAACAGAGCCTGCCGCTAGCCATTAGGCGTTGCAATAAAAAAAACTGACAATGTTATAAAAAACAGAAGAGAAGAGAAGAGATGGTTGGACGGTCGGGCCACTGCTTTGAAGTTTGAAACTCACACACTGTCTCGCATCTACGCACGAAAGATCCCAGTGCCACACTGGCCTGTATGTACACACGTCTGAACACGCCTTACCCATGATGGACCCTCATATTCAAACCGGGCCGACCACACATTACCTTTGTGGGGCCCGTTTTAAAAGGATCTGGGTCCCGGTTTGGTTCCTAGGCCCCACACCTGTAATGTCCCGCCAAAACCGCAGGGTCCACATGGTCGGTGCATGGATAGCCTCGTCCGTTATTGATGCGCTTATCGACATCGAAGCAGATGGGACACGTGGCGCAAACCCGGAATGATAAACCCTACTAGAAGACCACTGACAACAACTGACGACCCAGATCTCTTGATGGCCCATACGGACGACCCAGATGATTTTAAAAATAAAAAATATCCCAATGCTCAAGAGGTGTTGCTTATAAAAGTGCAGCGAAGCCCCTACTCACTTGTGTCCATTGTGCAATCACTCTCTCTAAAATTCAAAATCAAAATCAAAGCTTTTAGGAAATTTTTGGATCCTTCATATTTTCTCACAGCTGATATTATATATTGTTGTGGCCTGTAATTTTGGTTCCAATCTGTGCTGAATCAAAAGGGTTGCCATGGGTGCTCTAGATCATCTCTCAGATCTCTTTGATTGCTCAGGTGGGAGTTCCAGGCTCAGGAAACGCAGGCAATTCCAGGTATGTTTTTCTTCACAAAATCTCCATCGCCAGAAAGTGCTTATAAAGAGTAGATCAAACAAATCCCAAGTGATTTTTAATTTTGAAGTGTTTTTTTTTGGGCCTGAAAATAAGTGATTTTGTTACTTGCTTTTCTGCTTTTCTTTGCTAAAATTTGGCTAAATCCGTAATTTTTGTTGGGAGGGTTTTTCATTTTGAATCTTGGAAATTCCAAAAGTGGAAGCAAATATTCACAAAAGCTCAAAAGTTGTGAGTTTTTTTTTTTTGTGTGTGTGTGAATAAAATCTGTTTTTTACGCTTTTGAGCTGGATGGAACTGCATCTCTGTTGCTTTGTTCATTTACGGTTAGCTTCCAGAACAGTACCCAGTAAAAAGGAACTGGGCTGTCGTCACGTGTACAATGCCAACTGTACAATCTAACTTACGTGTCGAACTGTTTGGTTTTTTATCAGACGGTGGAGATCAAGGTGAAGATGGACTGCGAAGGTTGCGAGAGGAAGGTGAGGAGGTCTGTGGAGGGGATGAAAGGCGTGACGCAAGTGACCGTGGAGCGCAAGGCCCACAAGCTCACAGTCGTCGGATACGTGGACCCGGGCAAGGTGCTGGCACGCGTCGCGCATCGGACGGGCAAGAAGGTGGAGTTCTGGCCATACGTCCCGTACGACGTCGTTGCCCACCCATACGCTTCTGGGGTGTACGACAGGAAGGCTCCGTCCGGATACGTGAGGAACGTGGAGGACCCGCAGCTCCGGAACCTCGCACGTGCGAGCTCCACGGAAGTGCGTTACACCACGGCATTCAGTGATGAAAACCCAGCTGCCTGTGCTGTCATGTGAGCTGTCCAATTTGTGACGTGACATGGATGGAATCTATTTTTTATTTAGAATCTTTTTTGGATATGTCAAATGTCATATGTGTATGTTGTGTTGCACATTTTTTTTTTATCTTCCTTTTTATCATTATAGGTTTGTTAAGAAATCAAAACTATGGAATTGGCTATAAGCTTGAGCTTTTGATTGTATATGAAGTGGTTGAATTTAGTGGAATATTTTGGATATTTGACCCGTAAATTCGATGTAAAATTCGAATGAGCGGTTGCCGTTGATACATGTGGAGTGCACAATACATCAATTATTGAGATCGACATTTCAAATTTGAATCATTCTACCAATAGTTGACATTCGTTTAGTTAATGAAATATGTTTCAAATTTGAATCATACTACCATTGAATTGTCGTGATGAATATGATAAAGGTACAAAAGCGCTTTTGTATATGAATCACAAAAAAAGCACTTGCAGTGCGCCCATGATCAAATAATTGAAACTTGGTAAAGCACACGACATCAGATAGGATTTTGCTTTCAAGTGGTATATAATTCATGAGTTTCATCATAAGGGTTGTACAGTAAAATCACACTACCGCCTCAGTGGCTATATGGAAGATAAGCCTTTGTTTCATAAGAAAAGTTGCCTATCTAAATCAAACCCTTGACGACAATTGGACGCAACCCCTTCTCCAAATTCAAACGTCGTGTCATCGGAAATTTCTTGGATAGCAGAAAATATAATGATCCAACCGCCCCATATCTTGGGGTTCAAGTTTCGGTGCCCTGTCCCCCAAGCCAACTAGGGCTTAAGACCAAGTCATCAAATGGTTTTATTATGTAATGAAAATGACTTCGGTCATATTGCTTTAGTTATCCAATAATTTCGATACGCAGCCTAACAAATGGAATATTTGTCTCCCATCGGGATAGGATAATGTTTATAGACAACACGCTCTATTTATATCAACGATTTGACAGTCATTTATGTGCGCATGAACGACTGTTTCTAGCATGTCTTAAGACAAATTAAACGTTCAAATGTGCAATCCACTTGACTATGAAATGAATAATAGTAGCATTATAGACATCAACTATTTGGAAAGGGAGTTGTGGTGGTGTGATCGTCGCACACAAAAAATTTATACTGATTTGGAGTAAATAATAACAATTCTATTTAGGAATTTGAATATATCAAAATATATTTATTGGGCCCAAAATTGAAGTTATTTTTTTTCATCAAAGTGGACTTATTTAGTTGGGCCGAAAAACGTTGGGCTAACCCAATTTACTTCCTCTTATAAACCATACTTCGTTTCGTACCCTCACTCCCCTTCACTCTCACACACTCACCGCATTTTGGCGGGAGAGCAGAAAGAAGCAGAAAAAGCAAAGGAGCTCAAAGAGACGGCCGCACCCACAGCCATGGCGGAGGACCAGGACCAAGACGCGGCTATCCTTGAGGAAGAATACGCCGTGTGGAAGAAGAACACCCCTTTCCTCTACGACCTCATCATCTCTCACCCTCTCGAATGGCCATCTCTCACCGTCCATTGGGCCCCATCGACCCCACAGCCCCATGCCGAAACATCTTTCGCCGTCCACAAGCTCGTCCTGGGTACCCACACCTCCGATGGCTATCCCAACTACCTCATGGTCGCCGACGCCCTCCTCCCCACATCCCAACCGAACTTTGGCGCCATTTCTGAAGAAGATCCTGAGATGCCTAAGGTACTCAAAATCGGTGCTTTTTCTCTCATTTTCAGATGAAAAATTTGTCGGTACCTTGTATTTTGTACTATTTTCGAGAAATTTGATGTGGGTTCGGAGTATTTTCAGAGAAATGAATTGTGGGTAATCGGTATTTTTGAACAAGTATTTTGTGGGCACCTAGTGTATGTTAAAATTTCTAGCTGAAAATGTTTGTATGTATGGTTGGTGTGAGTGTAGGTGGAAATAATGCAGAAGATTCCTGTTGATGGGGAAGTGAATAGGGCACGGTGGATGCCACAGAAACCGACTATTGTGGGTGCGAAGACCAGCGGTGCTGAGGTGTATGTGTTTGATTCTGCGAAACATGGGTTGAAGCCTCAAGAGGGTGGTTGTGATCCTGATTTGAGGTTAAGGGGTCATGATAAAGAAGGATATGGTTTGTCCTGGAGCCCTTTTAAGGAGGGTTACCTTTTGAGTGGTTCTTATGATTGTAAAATTTGTTTATGGGATGTGTCTGCTTCGCCTCAAGAGAAAGTGCTTGATCCAATCCATGTTTATGAGGTAAATTTGGGACTAAACTTAATAGTTGTTGGCATGTGTAGTATACGTGTTTTGGCTATGGGGTGTCTAATGCTTTGACTATGGGAATTGTGAATGCCTCTTTTCAGCGTCATGAAAGTGTGGTTGGAGATGTATCATGGCATCCGAAGAATGAGAACCTATTTGGGTCTGTTGGGGATGATTGTCAGTTGATGATTTGGGACTTACGCACAAACCAAACGCAGCATTCTGTCAAAGCTCATGAGAAAGAGGTCACACAACTTTGAACAATATCATTTATATGATAGTGGCTTTTCAGTCTACTGTATGATATCGCTTTTACGAATCTCATACCCTTTTGAATTACACATGCACTTGGGAATTAAGCATGTTACCTTTCATGCAGTTTGGCTCCATATACGGTATCTTAAACTTCACATATGCAGTTTAGTTCAACTAATACTAACTTATTTCAATGATTTGAGTTATAGATGATGTTCTTTAGAAGTTTTATTGATGGTTTAACGTATATGTTATTCACTGCCATAACGTAAACATACAAAGGAGAGCAAAATCAGGAAAAACAATTTGAATAATCAGATAAAGTTAGTTCAGGAAAGATTTGGAGAATTGTTTAAATAGGCACCTAGGGTGAAAAAGAAACCAAAGTTGTACTAGCAAAGGTATCAGTTTCAGAAATATGAATCTATTTGTTGCTTCACTTACTTATGGGTATTATTGTAGTTTGTGAAGGGACCATTGTTGCTCTCTCTTTTATCTTTCTATTACTATATCTCTTGTATATTTTTACTGAAAACTTCTCCCTCTCTCCCATTTGTTGGGTGTTTTCAGGTGAACTATCTTTCTTTCAATCCGTATAATGAATGGATTCTGGCGACAGCATCTTCAGACACTACCATTGGTCTGTTTGATATGCGGAAACTGACTGTGCCATTGCATGTTCTGAGTAGCCACACGTATGCTCTTTATGCCCTTGCCCCCCCTCTCTTCGTACAAATAAATTATATTATCATCATCTATGTTCTTTCATGCCTTTGTGTGTTTCTCTTGATCTGTGCACAGTCAAGAATTCTGTTACCAAGTTTTGGATATCATTCTACTTCTCTGGCTCCATGTTCTGTTAGGTCCATAGTTTAATATCAAAATCCAAATTAAACACTAAGACATATTCTTCATGTTACAATTTGCAAAATTACTTATTTTTTGTTTGTATTTGAAGTGCATAAAACCAGTATCATAGGATTGATGCAGCAGTCTGTACTTATGTAGCAGTCACATATGTAAAGACAAAGTATTTGCAGTGTTTTAACTGAAATTCCTCATTCTTTCCTTGCAGAGAGGAGGTGTTCCAGGTTGAATGGGATCCGAAACATGAAACTGTGTTGGCATCTTACGCTGATGACCGAAGGTTGATGGTTTGGGACCTCAACAGGTATTTGATTTCACAGATTGCTGCTGCTAGAAGTGCCTTTGCCTTTGTTTATCTTCTAGGTTATGCAGCTTTTACATATTTCATTCATCCTTCATTAGGATTGGGGATGAGCAGTTGGAAGGAGATGGTGATGATGGCCCACCAGAACTTCTCTTCTCACATGGCGGCCATAAAGCAAAGATATCGGATTTCTCTTGGAATAAATATGAGCCATGGGTCATTTCAAGTGTAGCTGAAGACAACACTCTTCAAGTTTGGCAAATTTCTGACAGCATATATGGGGACGATTATGATGTGCGAGCTTCCGATGTCTAATCATAAATTCTCAACCGTCAGCTTAGAAGATAATTTTCCTACCTTTTTTACTAGTGTAAGCTCTTGTTGTTGTTAGGTGCCGTGTTAAGACTTTTCTTTTGAGATGATTACAAGACTGGAAAATTATGTATCTTCAAAAAGAACAGAGAGAGTTAATATTTGGATGGATTTGACAGAATTGGTTTTTTCCTTTTCACCATCTTTGGATGAGTGTTTGTCTTGATGGATTTGGTCGGCTATGCCTATGCCAAATCATTGCCCTTGATTTTAAAACCTTCTAACGTCTTGTCTTTGACTCTTTTTCGTACAAGCAATAATTCTAAAGATGGTACACACGCACTACCAAGTGCCATTGGGGGTCGGACATGAGACCACTGGTCAAGAAGATTGTGTTTCTCGCTTGGCCCTCTTTTGAAATAGGAAATAGGAAAATTTCAACGCTAAATATAAACTTAATCATTTTGTCCTCCCTAGCAATTACTATTAAAATATCATATCACCTTTCAAGGAGAGTTTACAGCAGCTCTTTTTGTAAAGGAACTGTTGGGTTATTTTTCCATCACTTTAAATCCCCTTCCCTCATTCCAGAATCAAATATTCAAAAAGGAAGAAGAAAAAACTTTAAATATTTGTTTTTCAGTGATCAAAATCACGTTAGTGGGGATATCAATATACACCAACTCTTTTCACTTTTCTCTCCAATGATATTACCCATCATATAGATGAGAAAGAACTATAAGAAATTCACCAGTGGAGATTAAAAGCCAACTGTCCACTCATGAATCCAGATCACTAAAATAAGTTGGTTAGCAGAAGCACATACTGACCATCCAAAGGCAATGAACCTACAGAGATTCTCCTTGCCATCGTCAATGGTGGAAATAGGGTGTCCAATGACATGCACAATGGCCAGATGCATCGCCCAAGGACAATGTACTGTGAAATTTATCCACTAGTCAGTCACCATTTGTGGACGACATGAATCAGTTGGCAAATAAACTTGAGTTAGAAGAAAAAGCTTTCGTCCAGACAGAAATTGCTTTTGTCTAAGCTCTTTAAGTTATTTTGATGAAGAGAAACAGTAAATCAACAAACGCCGCAAACTACGCAAGCTTCCACACAGATCACAAATTTGGATCTCACAAAGTGATTCTTGTGACTCACCTGTTTATAGCTCATAGTACTGAAACATGATAGAAATCACATGCCACCTTCTCTACGGTCTGTAATTCAGCAATCAAGAATTCATGTGGCTTAGAAAGAGAAATAATGGATATAGTAGAACTACTTCTAGCATATTGAAAAGAAAATTTGGCAAAGTTACATGAACCAAAGGTAATCTGACTGATATATGTAGCCTAAGAATATTAGAAGGTTAATCCTAAAGGAATTTGAGCTTCATTGAAGACCATTAAGTTGTCTCTGCCATAAGTTTCACTGGCTACACATCAACTAAGTTTACAGCACTACAGCACTACAGCACATGCCAACTTAAATTATAACTTGAACAAAATAACAGCAAATCCAGCAAAACTTCAGCTTGACGTAAATAAACCATCCCGTGCAAAGAACCAAACAAATGGTTCAAGAAATAGAAAAAAAATAAACCAAAAACACAAAACGACCTGAAGGAGAGCTGATGCTGCAGTTTGAAAAACTACTTATTGCAGGGCAATATATGTACTCTTGGGGATAATGACGCTGCTTCCTTCCTCATCCCTTCAGTTTGCTGCTGCGGCTCGAGCCCCTCCTAAAAAGACAGACACCATCTAATCAGTGAAAAGAATTGCACACTTCCAAGTTCCAACAGTTGTATTCAGGTCTATTCATTTCATGGTCAAGAAAAGAAGAATCTTCAGCCACATGCAAGGAAGATAATAAATTGTAATGCACAATGTTTAACTCATAACATAAAGGGCTTAACCAACCCCAATTTGCCAATTACCAAATCAATAGAGATGATTTTGTTTATATAACCAGCCAAAACAAGTGCAAGTCTTTGTCTAGCAGCATGACATGGAAACCCTTTATTGACTCTTTTGTACTTCCTCCTACTGAGCTCTTCTTTTATTTTTTATAGTTAAAAAGTCACCACTTCCAGCTCTATCTCATTATCCACTTTTCTCCACAGAGTAAAGGGTCCTGAACAGAACGGAATAAGAACATCCTCCAACTCTTATGATAAGTTCAATCTTCCAGGAGAAAGCCAAGTTTACAGAGATGATTTAGCCAATCCTTTTAAAGGTTATAGCTAATTATGATAAATTTCAGACATGTAACAACACAAACACCAAGATGAGTTGTGCGTTATTCATGAATTTAAAAAGAAATATGCTAACTACAATATTACAGGCACAATAATTTGCATTCCAACAATCCAAACTAGAATGGAAACAAATAAAAGAAAATCTTAAAAGACCTCATAAAGTACCACCCAATTCCGAATGCAACTGATTTCATCAGGGCTCAATGAAAATAATCCTTTACAACTAGATCTAGCGCCCTAGAGAACCGTCTTGCCAATGCATGCACAAAAGACTCATGAGACAAGTTCTGTGTATATCAAAGATGCAGAATTGCTCATGAATAAAACCCAACTATAACAATAGAACAGGAAACATATATGAGATAATAGATATGAATACAAAACCATACAAATAACTCCAATTAGCCGACTAACTAATGTAAAGTAGTCATAAACATAAGCCATTTAGGTTAAGGAATCTTATGTCTCACCCTTCCTCTTATTTGTGGCAGAAGAATTACCATTTGACACCCCATTTCCAAGTCCACAACCAGAAAGCTCCTTGTATCCTCCATCCTGATTTACCAAACACTGAAGATTCTCAAAATCACAACTGCTAAATCCTTGCCCATTCATCACCGCACCATCTCCACATTTTCCATCAGCCCCTTGATGAAGACAATAAAGCTGATCATCACGCTGTAGATTACATGGATTCATCACATACGCACTGGGGATGTTTGGGTTGGGCAGGTTGGGATTCACTGATTTCTGATATGGAAAAGATCCAATTTCTCCTTCAATCCTTCCTCGAATGTCCACAAGCAAACACTTGAGCCTCGCAATCTCAGCCTCCAATGCAGCCTGACCTTGCAACCTCTTCAACAACTGCTGATTCAGAGCTCTCAATCTCACAACTTCATCCTCCAAAGATGCTGCCCGTGCCTTCTTCTTCTCGCGGTACTTACGAACTGCTTCTCGATTACCTAAAGGCCGTTTCTTCGATTTCTTTTCCCCAGATTCAGCAGTGTCATCAGTTCCAGCCTTGTCTTCACTTCCTGTTGCTGAAGACACGATTTTAGTGTGTACATGAAAGCAAGTGTGTGTATGTGAGTAGTCAGGGCCAGGTGGGTTGCAAGTGTGGGTGTGAGTGCAAGCATGAGTGTCCTTAAGAAGGTCATCAAAGAAGCTGTCCATTGAGCAACTACTAGGATTTTCACCCCCCATGTTTGGACCCGAAAACATCTCTTGGTTCGAAAAATCGAGCTCTCCGTCCTCCATTAAGGCAAATAACACGAAGAACTAAGCGCAAAAGTTCCAATTGAGTGAAACAGTATCAAAATTTCAACTTTTGGCCTCCACCCAGATGAAGTTTCGAGCCCTCTACTCTTATCGACGGAAACCAGAGAAACCCAGATGGACAATTGTAGTTCAAAACTTGTGTTCTACACGAACACAAAGAAATCTCCCAATTCAATCACGACCCAGATGAGATCTACCCAAAGTCTAATAATCAGTTAAATTGGCTGAAAACCAAAGCTTTTCAGCCCAAATGAACAAATAGTACGGAGGATTCAAAAGCTAAAAGATGAATTACAGAATTAATCCCTACGATTAAAGTTATGTGGCTGACATAGAAGTAACAAGGAAAAGAGCAAAAAGTTTACGGATTTGATAATGGAACCCTAGGGAACACAAAGAGCCAGTGACAAAGAGAGAGACAAAGCTATAGCGAAAACCCTAGAGAGACAAACATGGCAACATCTTGACGTGAAAAAACCGAAAAGATGAACATACCACGGATTGGCAAGTGGTTCAGAGATTCCGCGAAACTCTCCTCTTTCAAAAGTCAGATGACTCTTCGGAAATGTCCTCGCTCTCTCAATATATACGTATTTAAGAAAATCGGAAATTAAAATATTTGGGGAATAATTATCTCGTACGTCAGGCAATAGGGTTATGTGGAAACTTGTAGGCTTGTTTGGTGGGCTGGACTGGACTATAGTCCTAGCTGTTGTTTGGTGAGCCTAAATGCACTTTGGGACTGGTTAGGACTCATATTTTAAGTAGGATACCAATCCAGCGAAAGAGGGTTTTGTAAACCCAAGTGAAACCATGGGTTTCGAAGCCTCCGCCTCCGGCTTTCACTGCGTACGCAGAGCACCTCCTTCTCATCGTCTCTTTTTCTTCTTTTCGTTCTCCCTGTGACTTCAACACCTCTTTGTGCCATTATGAAGGTAGATTTATTTCCTCAATGCATCTATGAAGCTGTGATTCTTTTTTTGGATTCTCTCTTCTCTCCTCTCCTCTCAACTATCATCTCTCATCTCAGATTTCTTTGTAAATTTTTTATTTAAATGTTAAATATTGAGATGTTTTGATGATTGCCATCACTTTCTTCTGGGTTAGAGGTCGAGATCTATGGTTTTTTTGGGGGTTTTTTCTTCTTCTTCTGAATGTTGTCTTTCATATCTGAGATACTTTCATTCTCCGAATTCTTTTCATTTTGTTTCGAATTACCTTTTTTTTGCTAGACTACAATTTTGTTTCTCATGTCTCCTGTCTCCTTTCCTCTCTCTGCCTACGAGAAGCCATGGATCAAAGGCTTCAAGAATTCAAATCAGAATTTTCGCCTTTTCTTTACGAAAGAATCCCAGATTTGTGTTTTTTTTATTTATAAATATTGGTTATGTAATTCATTGTCCCTTTTCTTTATGATGATGGGTTCTATATTTTATTTATTTTTTCTATCAAAGATGATGGGTTCTGTTTGTTTGTTCAGAAAATTTAGTAAATGAAATAAGCAATAGCAAAAAGTTTCTAAGTTGCAGTTCGTATTGTAGTTTTCTTCTCTGTGTGTTCATGAACCAATCTCTCTCTTTTTTTTTCTTTTTTTTAAATTTAAATTTTTATTGAAGTCCCAATCTCGGTGAATGTATTGGTTCTATAATTTTTCGTATATGAATATTGGTTCTGTAATTTGATGCGTTTTTAATTAATTAATTTTTAAAATTTTTATGATTCCAACCCGAAAAACAATTAATTTTTTATGATGTTAAATAATCTAATAAATAGTAAATTAATTTTGAAAAAAAATTTGAAGTCCAATGTTGTCCAGCGTGGCCTTGTACCAAACAATGGACTGGACTTAAGTCCAATCCAGTCTAGTGCTCTACCAAACAACTCAATAGGACTTGAAGTCTAGCCCAATCCAAGCCAGTCCAGTCTAACACTTCAAGCCCAAATCCTAACCAGTCCAGTCCAGCCTACCAAACGGGGGATTGAGAAGATATGTTGTGGTGAATGTTGATCCTAGCCGTTGATTGGATAGATGTACTGCATATGGCACTGCTATAGGCTATAGACCTCACGTGGGACCAGGAATCCTGAGAAGAACATTTTTGCTTAGGCCTGGCAGCCCAATACAAGGCCAAGAAAACTGATTTCCGTTTTTTTTAGAGTACAAGCGATAGTCTAAATTGAAGGGGAGGAAGATTTCTCTCTCACACACAATTAATAAGATGTCATTGGGGATTCGAACCTGAGATTTTTTGTCTGCAAGTCAAAGTCCTTTTCCTCTAAACTTGACTCTGTTGACAATTGATTGCGGTTTTAACTCTATTGGAATTGCTTCTATAGAACATACTTTTGCTCACAACTTCTTTTGTTAGAAACGATTTTATTGCAAAGGGTTTATAGCTCAAGTGATTAAGAGTATTTACCCATATATCCAAGTTTCATAAAAAAGAAGCGGTTTTCTTAAAAGAACACTGAAATTTTGTTAAAACCACTTTCCAATTTTTTTGTACTACCACAAACGAAAATAATAAAAAAAGAAGTTCGTCATATGCAATGCAGTGTTAATCCTGTTTTTTTAATATTATAATAGTTGAAATGATAAACTCTCGTTTGATTGAAGTTGAGGGAGAAAAGAGAAAAGGTTCTCTTTCATGCTGGAATGAAAATGCTAAGAATATTTTAGAGAGATGATGCTTGTTTGACTTTAGGTTGATGTAGAGTGTTGCGACATTACCTTCCATCTTCTTCAAATTGTTTTATATATGAAACCAACATAGACAGGTTCTTGTTACAAAAATAATTATCAATTGTTTTGTACATATCATGGTTTTTATGTTAGATTTTGGGTCTCGGGCTTTTAGGCCCGCCCTTTTGTTTGGTTTCAGCCCTGTCTTCCTGTTTTGGGCTGGCTTTCTTTCGAGCGTTTTCAATGGCGGAACACTTATTCCACTACACTTACGGCAAGAGTTCGATTCCCACTCTCTTTTTCATGAATTATAAATAAAATGATAACCAATTCATCTTCTTATCGTTGGATGTTGAGCAAGGATTCAGTAATATGACATGAATGGGCTTTCAACTTTCATACGAATTGTGGGGTTCAGACTTTCAATACGATTCAGTCACAATTTTATTGCCATGCCATATTAGCATGGGTTTCTGATTGAACTTTTAAAGACTTTGAACAGACCACAAGAAAAAAGGTAATGGACTGTCTTTAACATCAAAATTAATGTATCGGTGCATGCCGTTCCCTCCACCAGGTTACTTGTGGAAGGGTGTGGGTGGACAAGCTCTTATAGAACTGATCAAGGTTTGTTTACCAAGCAAGCAATTTATGCTCTCATGGGATTTGGTGCATATAGTCTTCTGCATACATATTTAAGATAGTGCATAGAAAAAGAAAAAAAAGGGTTGAATTCTTGGTCTTAGATATCAGTTTCAAACTCCAAAGCCTTATAGTTTTTATCTGCTTTGCTTCATCTTATAGTATTTGGCATTTTAGATTTTTGTTTTTACATCCCATGGTCTCATCTCTTTCGCTTGATATTCTTCTTTACTTTTGATCTCATATTTTCTTATAATACTGGTTATTCTCGTGTTCTGTAGCTGAACAGAGGAAAGGTGGAGGCTGATAAGGAAGGAAAGAATGAAAAGATGAGGAGGAGGAAAGAGAAGAGGAAGAGAAAGGAAAATGTAGAGATTAAGCAGAAAAGGCAAAATCTGCAGGATAAGGGGCACAAGATTGATGGAGAGAAGAAAGTTCAAGAAACAACTGACAGTAAAATAAGAAAAGATAATCTCACTGAAGAGGTCAAGAAGCCCAAGAAATTTGAGGGGAATCATGACTCTTCTGGAAGCTTCTGTGCTTGTTGGGTTTGCTCCCTTCATGCAGACATTGATCTTCTCTTGCCATGTCTTTTTCAACTGAAAAAATGCCTGGATCAAGTGCTATATAGAAAACCAGTTTGTTTAACTCCCACACTGACAGACACTGCTGTGCAAGAGAAGTTTAAGAAAACTTCTATAGCTGATGAGAAGGCTGAAGCTGTTCTTGTACCCAGCTTCTCTCAAAATGGTTCTCTGCAGATAGAATCACGATTTAAAGAGTTGGTTTTGAATTGGGTTCCTCCTCCCTTGGAGAATCTAAGCAGTGAATTTAATGATCAAGATCAACAGTGGCTCAATGATGGAGTGTCACTCAGGAATGACACAAATAAAAAAATTAATGCTATCAATGATCATTTGTGCTATCCATTTACAATGCTATTTTAGGAATGAGTGTGAGAAACTCATGCCATTTTGTAAGCCGGTTTATTTTGATGTAATCAGATCGAAGTAAGCTTAACCCGGAATTCAGATATCTGATTTCTTTTACAATTGGACTTTCCTTAATGTGGTAATTACTTGCAGATTGATATTTTTACGATTTTGATCATTTGAGCAGAAGCCATTTATGCAGAACCATGTAGATCATTGGCACTATAAGCCAATTTCAAACTGTTATTTTTATTCATACCAGTGTGGAGGAGATATGTTCACCTCCATCTGGCAAGATAAACCAAATGCTGAAAACTGAGTTTCCCACAAGCTAGAGATTCCATCTCATTCTGTGATTATGTTGAAAAACCGAGTTTCTGACAAGCTAACAAGCTACAGATTTCCATCCTTTTCACACTATCACTTCTAGATTTTATTTACATCTACAATCCACCCAACCATTGGCTGCACATATTTTTCTTCCCCTATACTGTACAGATGCTAATTTCATGTCTGCCCAAGTATGTGACAAACTTACAAAACAAGAGAAAAAGAATTCAAGAGAGTACAAAAGAAGCTAGTCAAAGCTTGATGATCTGCTCCACCTTCCTTTCAAATATTCTTCCCAAGAAACGCTGTTGCTCCGCTCCACACTACTGAATGATGTTGTATCATGATCGACATCAAGCAGTGCAAGACCCAAATGTGACGCCGCACATGAATTTGGATAAACTTCATCATCATCATCATTATCGTCCCGGATTTCTGAATCCTCCAGATCAAAAGATTGAGAGTTCACTTGCTTTTCAACATCTGAATCCCCTTTCAAGAGCTTCATAATCTGAGGAAAAGAAGAGCATGAAGCTTGGAATTCATTCACAGTAATACTAACAGAAACCTATTGCCTACATATTACTAAGAATATGACATTTTCATACCGCACTCATTTTAGGACGAAGCCGAGCTGAGCGTGTGATGCAGAGTTTTGCTGCATGAACCATTCTCAGCACCTGAACCTCATCAAACTTTCCACACAAACTTGGATCCAGTATGTCTTTTACATCCCCTCTATCTATTTTAGGCTTTGCCTGAGATGTAATTCAATGTAATTTATCCAAAATAGTTACAAGGAGTCAAATAAAAACAATCAAAATATGGAGGTGGCTCTTACCCACATGACCAAGCTTTCTTGTTCCTTGGGAGTCTCAGAGCCAATTGGTTTTCTTCCTGATAATAATTCAAGCAGGACCACACCAAAGGCATAGACATCAATCTTGTCACTGATCTTTCCATACATGAAATATTCAGGAGCAAGATAACCAAATGTTCCAACCACATCACATTCAGTCAGGAAAGATGTTGTTGTTGGTCCCCATATTGCAAGGCCAAAATCAGATAACTGTCACATAGATGCAAGCAATTAGCCAATGTCATAAGGTTGTGATCATGTTTTAAACACAATTTGGTTAACCAGTACCTGTGGTACAAACTCTTTGGTGAGGAGAATGTTTGAAGACTTGACATCTCTGTGAATAACCGGTGGAGAACATTCGTTGTGCAGGTAATTGAGAGATTCAGCAATCCCAACAGCAACATTAAATCTGACTTCCCACGGCAATACAGATTTGCCTATGTTCTTGCCTGCATCACCTTTCATTTTGAAATCAACATGGTTTATGACAATTTTTACCAAGCAAATGAAAGAGGACTACAGTAGTTAAACTTTACCATGTAAATTTCCCTCTAAGCTTCCTTTAGGCAAGAAATCATAAACAGAGATTAGAACATTGTCTTCAATGCAGAAACCAAGCAGAGGCAAAATGTGTTCGTGCTTCAACGAGGAGACGATATCAACTTCATGGGCAAAATCCGTCCATGCTTCTTTGGATGACTTCATAAGCTTTACTGCCACTTGCCTGCCATCTGCAAGAGTTCCCTTGAACACAAGGTTGCATCCTCCTTTCCCAATAAGATTTTCTGCTAAAAGAAGAGGAAGTTAGATAAAGAGATACTCAAAAGTCTAAATAGAGAGACGGGAAGTTAAAGAAAAGGCACTCTCAGGAGAAAGTATATGTTAAAAACCTGAGGAGAATTGAGAAGTGGAAGTTTTCAGAACCTCATGACTGAACCATCTGCAACCAGATGAGTTTGTTTCCAGGAGACGCTTTAACTTTTCTGGTAGCTCATCCAAACCAGAACAACTATCCTTGATAACCTCATCAACAATGTCACTAATACCTCTTTCAAAAGGATTTTCTTTGATAGTTGAACATTGAGGAGACTGCTGTGGAGAACGGTCCGGTAAGCTCATCACCCATTGCACCACAGACATGTCTCTTGGGGCTGGGAATTGTGGATTCGCAGAAGTCGCTCTGCGGAGTAGGGGCCAGCCAAGGCTCTTACCCACATGCTCTCCTGCACCAAGTGAAGTTGATCTACAAGGGACTCTCTTGTGTTCGTTCTTCAAGTCTTCACTACTATGCTTTGAACTATCTTGGGAGCTCTGAGCCATATCAGAAAATGATTTCACAGTTTCTGTATCTTCCTCAAAGTCACCAAACTCAGATGAGCTTCCTTTAGAAGTGAGATTTTCAATCTGAGAAAGACTTGGCCTTGGGTCACCTGTGAGACCTACCATAACCGAAACACAATTTAGTATTCATGAGAGACCTACTGGTGGGGTATTTTCTTGGACTTAAAACACCAACCTGGTAGTTGATTACTGGTGCACCTTCTGAACACAATTTTCCCATTGTGGATGGCCACAACATCAGTGGTTGGTGGCAATTTCTTAGCACAGAATTTCGCCGTAGAATCCCAACTCCTGCAAATGAATCCTGCTTAGAGTAATCAGAAAAGAATCACATACATTAAAACCAATGCGAGTTTTTCTTCAGTTCCAAACTCTCTCCCTTACCCAAGAGTGTTTGGCTTGCTTGTGCCTACAACTATGGCCAGAGTAGCATGGTTCTTTGCCTCTCTAACTAGAGCTTTTTGGATTGACCTTCCTGTCAAGACCTGAGTGGTGAGGTCTACCTGAAATTTTAAGTATGACAGTCCATAATCAATCTCAAATTTTGCAACATATGAAATAGTGCAAGAGTTATGAACAAGGATTAAGAAGTATGAACCTTTTTCATATCACATAGCCCCTCATAACCCTCTAGGTAACCATCCAATATCGTCTTGGCTTTCGAGGCGTAATCTGTAGACATTAACATAACACATAATGTTATTTAAGTTATGTTGTCGGACTCTCAATCTGAACTACACGTATAAAAAAGATTTACCTAATCAATAATTCAGATTGACAGAAACATAACATTTTATTTACGAGTATAACAAAGGAACACATATGCAAATGAAACTATATCTGCAGGCATTACCAGAACTTCGACAGACATGAACTGCAATGACGCAATCTCCCGGTTCAGCGACTTTCACCAGAGCCCAGCCGAGCAGCTCTCTGCTCTGGCTATCAATTGGAATCCCAACCAACACAACATTCTTCTTCTTCTTCTTCTTCTTCTTCTTCTTTATAAGATCCTTGAACACCTCCTCAAGTATCATTGTGTTCTTATGTTTATGCCTCTGATAAAATCTCTCTCTCCCTCTCTTTCTCTCTCTATCACAATCTCAAAATTTCTATAAACGTTTTCTGGCTTTCAAACGTCCCACTTCTTGAATTTAACATTTCAACCCCTGCAACAACAAAAAAAAGCCACCATGGTAACTCAGCCCAGAAGAAATAAAAAAAACCAATGCCCCATTACAACATAACATTTTTGGAGCTGCCACTTGTGGATATAAATGGTGCCCATCAACACATAAAATCCCATTAAAATATTGCAGATTTACAAGATTCTAACAAATCCCATTTGAAAATTAAAGTCCTTTCATATATATAAAAAATAAAAAAATAAAAAGGGAAGAAAACCATGAAAAGAAAGCAGAATCAAGAAGAAGATAAATGCGACCAGACAAAATAACACGTACCTAAAAAATCTTGTACCCACTCGTGGCTAAATCCCAACATGTTGTTTTAAAAACCAAAGCCCCCAAGTAGCATCAGCAGCCTACCTACTGCAACTAAATTCAACACCCAGAATTCAAAACAATTATTAACAAAATAAAGTGCTAAGCTGACAAAAAAAGCTTAGATAAGCAAATGGGTGCTTTTAAAAAACAAAAACAAAAATTTTGAAAAAAGAAAACAAGAACAAAAAAAATGCTGGGTTTTGGGAATTGTGTCGGCGAGAGAGTGAATTCCCGCCAAAAGTGGACAAAGCCCTTCTCTTTTTTGGGGGTTTTTTATTTTTTTTTATTTGTTTTGATTTCTGGTTTGGCTTTGGTTCTTGTTTAAAGTGAAAGTAGAAATTGAAGAGCTTATTTGAGGCCGTTAAAAAGCAGCAGTTTTCGCGGGAAATCCCAGAAATGCGACAAAAGAGGACATGCGGGCTTCAACCAGTTTTTCCGGATTAACGAAAACAGGAGGCTGTAGACGGCCGTTGCCGTACCACTTATTATTTAAATTCAACTAATCATAATTAATTAATTAATTATTGACCAAGAAAAAAGATAATTAATTAATTGACACAAATAAAGTAAATAAACGACTGCTGAGCAAAGAAAAAATTTCAACCAAAAAAAAAAAAGGACTAATTATTGGGTTTAATATGGCAGTCGCATCAAACATTTTGGAGGATGTTATCATGTTACTGTTGGAGGAAAATTATTGACGTATTTATTTTGAAGATTTAATTATTGGGTTTGTTCCTAATAAATTCTAAATTAGCTTTGGTTATGTCTATGACTTAAACGCAATAGTCTTTTTGAGATTTAATTAATTAGTGGTCTGTTTTTTAGATTAAGACTCTGTAGAATTGAAAGTAGCTGGTATTATGAAATTACAAGATGAATCTCAATATTATTTTTATTACGTGAAGGGGAATTCGAATTCAGATGCGGAATAAGGAGCACATCCACTCTAGCTAACTTGATTAAGTCCATATCTAGAGAAACACTTGTGTGAAACAGGAATAACACTTTTTTGCTATCCTCAACCAATTCCGATGTGCCATGCGTTGTAACTTTTTCATTTAATATAGCGTAATTTGACGGATATAACAAAACAATGACATCCTGTTTTATATAAGTTTGTCTGCCATGCCTGCTAGTATTTCCTTTTAGTCAAAAAACCATTGTGGGTGGGAATTTGATCAACTATGATTGCAACTTTGAGCACTTTTAACTTTGGAAAAAAAAACCATTAGATTAAAGCTAGCCTATATCATATGATATATATATATATCTCATTTACTCGGAAATTTCTCAAATTTTCAGGTGAAAATAAAATATGATGATGCTTTTGCATGTTTGCTCTTTCAAATCACTTGGACACTACTTTTAGGTTTTTAGTATCTGGCAAAGTGCAAAAGGCAACACTTTTTATTTGTTTATTTATTTTCTTTAGGCAGTTGACCCTTGTTAATTTATACTTACATTTGGTATTTTTGTTCCTATATTACCCTCCATCTTCCGAAAACAACTTAAAATTAAAAATGATATTGTAACTTTCAAATTGTTGGTCTTTTTTTTCTGGTCAAAAATAATAGTGTTCATTAAATAAGTTGAGTATAATTGTTTTGCATTGCTCAGCAAAAGGCGTTTTCTTTTCCCTATTTTACCTGAGATTTATGTCTTGTTGTAATTTCAATGGAGGAAATCAAATCATTGACTCATTCTAATTTCAACTAATTTTTCCGCTCATTATAGTCACTCAGAACACTTAATTTAATCGATATGAGCCTTAGCCGAAAGAAAAAATATATAAAAAAACAAGAAATTAGTCAATATTTTGACAGGAAAAGTTTTATTCCGTGTTTGAATGGAATTAGAGTAGCGTGGACCGTGGATTGGAAAAATTCATAGGTCTTCTAAGCTATATTCTCTCTTCTTTGTTCTTGTTTCTAAAATGCCACCTGCATTTCAAAGTATTTCGTGTGGATGCTTTTTTTTTCTTTCTGCTAATTTGATTGTTCCGATGTCTGCTTCATCCACGTGTCCCCCACATCTTTTCAGAATCTACCCACAAAAGGATGGTAGGGCAACACATGGAACTATGTGCAATCCGTCGAATCAACAATTATAGAATCAACTTTTCTTTCTTTTTGGACCAAATTTCATGTTTAACACTTTGGATGGAAGATGTGTCACGATGCTATCATAATAACCAATCACGTAATACGTACGTTACAATAAAATACAATTAATCTTTTTGCTAAATTTAATTACACAAATACAATATTTAAGCTCGTAATTAAGAAATTAAGAAGGGTTTCCACTTTCCACCGACGTTTTATTGGTCTAAACAAAGGGAGCTAACTGCTCTTCCAAATGGACCATGGTGCTCCATCACCATTTTTTGGAGCCATGCAAAGAAACTATTTGTTAGGAGAATATATGGTAGGTCAAGACGATATATAAACCCTACTAACCTTCTTTTCTGTAATAATAATATCAACAATGCATCCCAACGAACGAACAGTTAATCACGAAAATGATAAACACGTACGCTTGCACATAATCAAACTCTTCGTTTTGGCATGAATGACATCATTTCATTTTTATTTTGAATATGATTCAATTGAATTTCGTGGAAAATAATGGGACTTCATGCATGCATTAATCAATGCAGGTTTTATATTAATATGCATTGCTTGTAACATTATTATTTATATTCTATATAGTTGTTACATATGATATGAGTATTGATTGAACTAGAATTATATTGGAAAAACCTATATATTATGGCCTCTGGTGGCCCTCTGAGATTCATTGGTAAGTGAGAAAGCGATTTGCAAAAGAAGAATGACGACTTTGATTCCTAACCGAATGGATAATGACGGAGAATTATATATTGATTAAGATTAACTATTATTAAGACTAAGCTCATAAGCAAAATGGGCCCATTTCTGTGGGTATATTTCTTTCAATGGGCTTTTATTTGGGCCGAAGCCCAACTATTGCAACGGGTCCAATGGGCTTTGCTTATGACCCAAAAAACACGTTCGAGTCTCACCAATGAAAATCAACATGTGATTAAATTAAACATAAAAGTTCAATCATAATTATGAAAATTCTTCCAAGCAAGAAAACAACAGTAATGTTGAAGTGTAGCTTCAAAAACTTGGCAGCCATAATATTCATTATCAAGCAAAGGAGCTCAAATTACAATTTGGGGGCCTCAATTCAATATATATATATAAGACAAGTTATAGTAATAGAGAAGCTGGAAATATATATATATTTTTAAACAAGATTAATTAGGGTCTTAATTAATTAATTAGCACATGGCATACTTCTGGGTCCAGCTCCGAGCTGTTGACTCATATTTGACTTTGTCAGTCTTGCACATATGAGCAATTTCCGGAACAAGAGGGTCATCAGGGTTCGGGTCGGTTAGAAGTGAACAAATCGACAGTAAAACCTGCATGTCACAAAAACAATAATATTAGAGACACTAACTATGTTTTTTAATGAACTGATATGACATATCATTCGAAAGTTTTTTAATTTTGTAAATAAATAAGGTCTAAAGAGAGTTCAGAACATAGACAAATCTATTTACTGACTAACCTGGGCTATAGCCCATGTGGGAATTATTTTTTCATTCCAAATTCTGTAATACAACCCACCCGACCCTATCCATAAGACCCGTTCACATGTAACTCCTTCATGTAACTTGTAAGGTCAATTAAGGCTATCCCATTTTGAATTTCTTGACTCAGAACACATAAAATGTGTCGACCTAAGTGATGGTATAAGTTTCATGTGTGTTAAGGTCTAATGCCACCTAAAACTCATTGTGTCACCTTGGATATGGTGAGTGCTGGACTCCATTGCTCCTTGAGAATGTCCAAACAGATGTTGCCATTGCTGTTTATATTTGGATGGAACACTTTGGTCTTGAAGGTAACCTGCAAAAGATTTATTTATTGTATCCCACAGCAAAGCATCAGAATATATTTGTATGGCAAAATGATGCAAGATTGTTAACAGAATTTGGTGATAGATTTGTTGTATATACCTTTGGAGGTTTGAAAGGATAATCAGGTGGAAAATGGATGGTTACAAGGAACACACCCCCTGAAAAGGGACTATCATTTGGACCAATGATTGTTGCTTGCCAATGGAACATGTCCTCAGCCACAGGACCTGCAAAAAGGGAAAACACCATAAGAAATTATATATATATATCCATTTTCCAAGCAATAAGCCATCTTTTTTCAGTTCTTTTACCTGCACTGCACGAAGTTGGTGGATCTCTCTGCAAGTCCTTGAGCTCCTTCAATATTCTCTTTAAGGCCATTGAAGCAGTTTCAAAGATGAAGCTTCCTGGTTTTGAGTAAGAACTTGAACAGAAGGATGAAGGATGGATTAATTTGCAAAAGAATTACAATCTGTTGACACCCTGAAAAATGGTAGGTTGGGGTGTTGGTGTATTTAATGAAGGGTGAGAAGGAGAGGTTCATGAATTCTTGTGGGCTGATGAAAGTGGGAACAGAATCAGTTCCAGAACAAAGTTGAAAGCAAAAGAATCAAGAGACTCAGGAAACAAAAATTCAAAGATTATCTGCTGCCACAATCTCTCTATATCATAAATAAACAGCTGTTGACCAAACAAAATTCTAATTGTTTTGTTATGCAGAAATTGATGCCACAATCTCTTTATAACAAGTACTGGAAGTGATGGATTCTAATTGTGAGGGCATGCTTTACTTACTTTAAGTAGAAGGCTAAGTTTTTTCAGGGAAAAGATCTTTAGGCCAATTATATGCCATGAGAGCAACTCTTACCACCCAAAAGAAAAAGATATTCGTGCTTAGCTCAAAGTTCAGTTCTTGAGAATTTGGGACAATTTTGAAGTTGATGAGTCGGGGTATCTATAAGAAGATTTAGAAAATATTCTCAAACGAAATACATACACAGTTTTGCCATAGATTATAAGGACCTTGATAGCCCCACTTCCTTTTTGCCTTGATTCTGCTTTCTGTTTCGCCTTTTTCTTTCTAGTCTCTTCATTCAATCATGGGTCACCATTCTTGGACTGGTTAATTTTCCTTTCAAACCAGTCACATATATGTGTATACATATGCCTATTCAAGATTCAGGTGCAGACATCCGTACTGTGAACTATGAGAGGCCGGTCAGCTGGCAATATGGTCGTTTGTCAGGCCTCCCACAGTCCGCGATCCTGGTACTAGAGGATGTCAAACTGTCTACCATTCAAGATTGTATGTCATGAAAATATAACCATCTATATATATTCTTGAAATTTGTAGTGTACTAAATCAGGTTACAAGACGTGTTTATATGGCTTAAAAAGTAAAATATCAGTACCATATAGAGACAATACATTAGGGAAATCAAACCCAAAGAGAAGAGGGTTCAGCATGTTAACAAACACGTAATGCAAAGCATTAATATACAAATCAAATCAGAACACTGCCACAGAGAACTTGATGCATAAACAGAGCTCCTACATCTGTCAGTCGAAACTACGATGCCCAGCTTGCTGCTTCCTCCAGACGGAAAAATATAACAGGGACTGAAGAGAATTAATGGATAAATGACTAATTAGTCACAGTTTCTTCCCAACGCTATCCTTTCCACGCTCACAATATAGAACAGGCCTTCTGTGCCTTTCTCTTCTTTTTCTTCTTCTGTTTTGGTGGCTGGAGAACCACTTTAATGGCTGCGTCAAAGACTGCTTTCACATTCTGCATTCACAAGGGGTATTTAACATAAACATCGTCATCAGTGTGAGATCATGGAGTGCTTCCCCTGTAGGTATCAAGTGATTTGAATTGAAGTTACAAACCTGCTGTGTTTTTGAACTACATTCGATGTAAACCGGAGCCCCAATCAGCTTCTTTAGTTCCTCTCCCTTCAAAAAGAACCCCCAAAATAAAAGGAATGTAGAAAATCAGGTCTTAATCCTATTAGTTGGTCTGAGTTTGTGGATTTTATTTTTTATTTTTTATTTTTTATTTTTTTATAACAAGAATAGTTAAGAAAAGAAATTGTAACTATAACTCAGGTTGCAGTAGAAAATACCTGGGCTGTGGTAATTGGCACTGCACCAGGGTGATCTACAAAGAATTGCTTATCATCCCGAAGATCTATAAGAAGAAAATTTAGCAGTCATGAGAAGCTAAGCACCCATAATGGGCAAGATAAAGATTATGTCCAGTAAGATACTGCAATACAACATGATATGGACTAAGAGTACATGTGATCACTACTGCAACACAGAACCAGACATGATCCGATCAGAAGATACTGATTATGCCTACGTTAATATCTATAGCAGAGAGATCTCTTCATTTCAAAATGCACAAGTAAATGTAGCAGCATATGTACACGATTACATTTTATCATATATAAATGCTGATCTGCAAGGGATTTACAAAGAGCACCTCCTGACAAAAACTTCAGTGCCACTAAAATTGAACAGGTGGTCAGTATAGACCAAAAGATCTGTGTGCGAGAGAGAGAGAGAGAGCTGTTACAAGTGTTCATCAAAAGGAAAACTTGCAAAATTTACCAAGAACTTACCATTGAGATTCTCAAAAAGCTAATAGTAAATTCAGATTACATGAGAAAGCAACCCAGAAGTTGTACAAAAACAGAAACAGACAACACAAAAGCTGCACTTGAACCATTTGTATCTCGAAACAATTATACTTAAATGGAACCCCCATAATTCTAAGGTTAGCATAAACAGCAAAGCTAATAGCCAAGGAAAGAATTTCATAGGGAAATCAAAAGTGCTACATAATATCGCAATTAAAGTTGAATCAACTAATATTTATCACGAGTAGCATAATAGGAAACAAAGGAAAGCAGGGGAGTAGAGATCTAACCAAGCTTAGTTCCAACAAGAATAATTGGAACACCAGGTGCATAATGCCTCAATTCAGGAACCCACTAAACATTGAAATGGAAAAAGAAAAAAAAAACCTCATCAGCGAACTTAGACATTAAACAATAGTTGAAGAAACTGGGGGGAAGAAAAGAATTAACTCTGAAGATAGTGTGAGTCTTACTTTCTTGGCAATATTTTCATAGCTGGCCTTACTTATGAGAGAGAATGCAAGTAGGAAGACATCTGCCCCACGGTAGCTCAGTGGTCTTAATCTATTGTAATCTTCCTGTCCTGTTCCATAATTTTAAACAGCAGGCCCAAGCTTTAGAAAAAGACAAAACTATGAAGAAGGAATATTGTTCAGATTTGAACTAACCAGCAGTATCCCACAATCCCAAATTAACAGTGCTCCCGTCCACAACCACATTTGCACTGAAATTGTCAAACACAGTTGGCACATAATCCTGCTCCCCAACATATTGCAAGCAAAAACAGAAAATCATAATCATCCTCTAGAAAATTCAATCTCATACAGAAAAAAACATGCGAAAAGCAAAATTTTGAATCTTAATTATCACATCAATGCAAAATCTGGATGAGAAAATTCTCAAAGTTACATACATGCTATACTTTTTTTTATCACACAAAGCACCTTACACCGAACAGTCTTCTAGTCTATTGAACAGGTATAATGCAGAAAGGTTTTTATTAAGTGATTCTGATCAATCAAGGAAATATGTATGCAGAGCTACAGAAGCCTCTACAAAAGAAAGAAAAATAAACAAAAAGTAAGAGAAAACTGTAGACATGAAATTTTTCTGAGCTTACTATTCAACTTAGTTACTAGGCTTAATCCAGAGATATGATTCAACACAGGTTCAGGAATGACAAATTATAGAAAGGGTCAACATCACTGAACAAAACCAAGAAAATCCTCTTAATAAATTCTGCACCACAACAAAGTGAACAAAAATAAAGGGCTCTGATCAGCTCAATTCAAACATAAAGACTCAAACTTGATCGAAATTTTAAGATTTCTTCACTATATTATACATACCCAACAGGGTAAATTGAAAATGTTAAAAAGAATGACCTACAACAAATAAATGCCCTGATCATGCTAAAACCAAAATTCGAATTCTATGGGAGTCAAGTCATGTGATTTGCTGATTTTGCTTCTGAACACCCAAATGAGGAAACACAATAGAAAAAAACAAAGCTTTGCTTTCTTCATCCCACGTTTTCTTGAAAACCAAACAAAAGCAAGTAAATTGTGCTCAAGAATCTTGCAGTAACCCCACATTGAAGAACCTAACTACCCTACCAGGCTCAGCTAAGCAACCCAACTAAAGACAAACCTCAAAGACTTAAACTTTCTCTCTGCAATCAAACAAAACAAGAAGAAAAGAAAGAAGAGCCCTTTACCGTAGGGAAAGTGTTGCTGGTGTAGGAGATGAGCATGCAAGTCTTGCCCACCGCTCCGTCCCCAACTGTGACACACTTTATGAACCTGGAGGCACTCATTTCCTCCCAACTCTGTCCCTTCCTTCTTCAACTTATGTTTCTACAAAAACCCTAATTCAGATTATAGCAGAGGTTTCTTAACCCCCACCACAACCCAGTTTAGTTGAGAGAAACAGAAAGAGAGAGAGAGGAGAAAAAAGAGAGAGATGTGGGAAGGCAAAGATGAAGGGTGCTGGGCCTAAAGAGCCAGCTCTTGCCAGCTATAATAATAGTATGATATTAATGTGTTACTGTGTACCTCAAAGACTCAATCCCAGGCCCCATTTCAAGTTTTCAACCTTTCTTTCTGTCTCAGTAAACTCCACCAACCAAAACAACCAATTTGTCCTCTTGGGCATTCTTTTATATTTCAAAAGATCCAAAAGAAAATCACAAGATCACAGGCATTTGTCTTTTATTTTATGTTTTTTTACTGTCATTGACTCATTGGGAAGAAGTTTACTTATTGGGGAAACAAAGGAATATTAGGCTATTAATTTGGTGGCATGTAGTTATGAAGGCTGAATCTGATTTATTCTGTGTTTCTTATTGTGGGGGTGTCAATTGTCAAACGAGTTTGCATGTGGTGTGGGGTTGTGAAACATAAAAGCTCTCTCTGCTCAGTGCTGCATTCCTAAATTGGCAATTCCCCTTCTTCCATTTCTCTGTTTCTTTTCCTTTTCTGCTTTTCAAGAATATGTCAAAATAATTTTATATACTGAGTCATATATGTAGAGAACATCTAGCATTTGATTTTGTGGCAGTTGTTTTTATCAGTTAAAGGATGTTTCAAGTTCAACTCACAAAAATACGATAATAATTATGTGTTCGATATCTACTCGTGATTTGCTGTTTACTATATTCAAAGGTCAACCAACGTTTTACTTTTAGCTAAGCTAGGTGCATTTTGGGTGTTACTGCAGCTTCCATTGGGACCTAAATTCTATAATATTGTACAAATAAAAAACTTAGAAATGCTCAATGCCTTTGTTTTCAAACTTGAACTTGGTAGTTAACCTAATAGATTAAATAAATCATAGTTTAATGCATCATTTTAGGCAAGCATTACAGCCCCACGAAACAGCACCAAAAAATGATACAAAGTGTGAGGTTGGTTACATAATTAAAGAAGGTGAATGAGATGGATATGAATGCCTGAGAAATGAGTG